CAACACACCAAACAATTACACAATCTTCAAACTCGATCACGGAGACACGTTTTACGACTCGGCAATTCAATATCACATCTGCGGCGAGGTAGTAAAAAAATCCGATGGTAAAGCATATGATGCGACTGCCACTATAGCCCTTATTGACAATTTCATACCATACCTCTTTACAAGAATCGAACTGAAAAAACACAACACAACAATCGATGTGGTCGATCATCCGGGAATTACAAGCACTATCAAAAGTATTCTAAACTATCCTCAATCGATGAAACCCGCTTTGCAAAACTGTGGGTTCGCATCAAGATACTCGCTTGGTGGTGGCAAGTTCGAAGCAATTGGAACCTTAGCGCATCTCGGGTTAGGATTCTTTGACCACATGCGATACCCCATGTACAAAGGTGGATTCGAGATTGTATTCACAAGAGCTGAAGATAACGACGCTCTATACCATTGGAAAGGAACCGGTGCCGCAGCTACCGAACCTGAGGATGGCAAAGTGAAAATCACTTCCTTCGTTCTCAGAGTTCCCATAGTGGAATATACGTCAACTAGCAAAATCCAACTAATCGACGGTCTAACAAAACTTAGTGAAAAAGACGAGTTGGTCTACAACTATTATCAGTGGCAATGTATTGACAAAAAGGGTGTGTTCGGATCTACATACACATTCGACATTACAAACGTTTATAGAAACGTATACAACCCTAGATTCGTAATCATGTGCTTTCAAACTAACCGCACGAATGATCAGAAAAAGAACCCAGCGCAATTTGACAGCGAAAATATAAAGAACTTTGCAGTTAAAATAAATGGTCAACGTTACCCTCAAGAACTGCAAAACGCTGCAATCCTTGAGGGACGTTGGAGAGTGATTTACGAGCAATTCATGAGATATCGTAAGGTGAATTTCGATGACAGCTCAATGATCATTGACCCGAGCGAGTTTATTTCACACTACCCACTGTATGTTGTCGACACACATCTTCATCCGATGAATACAGACCGTTCTAGAAGTGACATTCAAATAGAATTCGATTTCACAAACGCAATCGCATCACCATCGGCCGATTCAGGCACTACCGCATATGTCATCGTAGTCTCTGAAAACGCGTTTGCCTACGACATATCAAGGAACATAATCAAGGTGATGTAACTGCGCATTTATATAAGTGAGGGACATGGCGCAATTGGTAGATTTGCTTAACGCGTGCCAAGCACCCAAATACACTAAAATCGAAGAGCTGCGACATGAGCATCCCTACAGAATAGTGGAGTTGCAGCGAGTCGTGACGAGATACGGTCCCTCGGTAACCGCTACTGTCGAAGAAGACCCTTGTGGCAATCTAAGAAAATTGTATCTCCCATGCAGGTACAACAACGTTTTGACAGACGTCATGATTAGAAACTACAACAACGGTGTCAACGAAAAACTTGCTTTGATACCCAAAAGCCATGGTCAGATCGAGTTTACAACAATAAACTAATATAACAGAAATAAAATACACAAAATATTAAAACTGAAAAACACAAAAAAAATATTTTTTCGCCTCCGGAGGATTAGCGTGGTCGGAACCACACCACGTGCTGAGTCGCCGACCTACCTCACTCCACATGGTCACAGATCCATAACTACATAACTACAGTAGCAGAAAACATTGCTATTTGCACCTTGCATGCAGTGCAGCTGAGCAACAGACAATAGAACTAGACAGACAACAAATCCAACTCCAATGCTTTCTAAATCAGAGGATCAGTCTCTACCTGTAAGGTCATCCAAATCAGAGGATCAGTCTCTGCCTGTAAGATCATCCTCTGTTTGTGACGTCATGGACACACCTCCCTCCTCCCTCCACGACCTACCTCAACCCACGTGGTCTCTGATCCTCTCTCATAATTTACCAATTTTACCAACATTTTCATCAAAATTCACTGCGAACCGTGAACACACGTGTCTCCAGCTTCACACCTAGTGCGAGCCTAGTTAGCTGTCATAGCACTCCAAACACACCGCTGTCTACCCCGTACGAACCTTCTTGTCTGATCAAAACACCCAATACAAGGAAAAAAAAAGGTTTCACACCTAATGCGAGCTTAGTTAGCTGTCATAGCACTCCAAACACACCACTGTCCACCCCGTACGAACCTTCTTGTCTGATCAAAACACCCAATACAAGGAAAAAAAAAGGTTTCACATGACCAGACAAGAGGGAACTCATTGACCCTCCTCCCTCCTCTGTCCTAGAACCCCCAAAATGACTACTACTAGTACCTATGTCCTTTTCCTGCCAAATCTTTTGTCATTTCAACGACTATCGCCTCACTCGTTAACAGCTTTTCCTCCTGTGTAGAATCCCCACTTCCTTCTTCAACCGGTACATTTTCTTTGACTTCAGCTCCAGTATAGATCTTAAATTTAGAACAATAACCACTTCCAGATTCACAACACTTGTAAAACTTTATGCCAAATCTGGCTCTCTTCTTGGGATTAAATTGGACATAGCCCAACCTCCCTCGGAACTTCATAAGACTCTCATCGACAGCTATGTTTTCATCAGGTATGTACAGATGGGAAAACTTCCTGTTCATGTACTCAATAACGTACCTTAACTTCCACAGTTTATCATTCACAGGTTTCCTATTATTGTCTGTAAGGTGGAAAAATGTGGACAGTAGCAAAAAACGGCGGAATGGCATCACTTTACGAAAAAAAGGGGTCTCAGTTACAGCATTAGGCGACCAGTATGATTGTATGGTTCTTTTTTTTACTAGCGACATAAGGACACAAAGTGTATAAAAACAAGCCATCTCATCTGCAGTTGTGTCAAACCATTCTGAGTATATAGTTTTTCCTAACCCGCCTGCTTCGTTCTTTTTCTTAATTGTTTCTTTGGCATAATTATTAGTCTCTGTTGCAACATGTTGCCAAAAGTCATTATCAAGAAACGCATTGAAAACATCTAATTCAGAGGGAGCTGAGCCTAAACTTCTAGCCAAACTTGCTCTAACACCAGGACAACCAGTAAAAGGGATTTTATTTATTATATTACTTTCTATGGTACTGGTCCACTGCCAACCCTCCTTTTTCTTCTTTTTTGGTGGAGCTGTATCGTTACTAGTTTGAGTTTTGGACCTTTTAGTAGGCTTAGATGGTTGTGAAATAGCTTTTTTTCCTATAGGCCTACCTCTTCCTCTAGACCTGCCCCTAACAGGTTTACTTTTAGGCCTAGGGTCAGGAAAGCTAGGGTCGTCAGCTTCCTCACTCGGTGTAGGTGAGAGGGCAGGCACGATTGAAGATGCATGCTGGTCAAATAATTCAGGCCTAATAGGCAAATCTAAATCAGATTGGACATTTGGAGGGGTCATAGGCCTATGCCTGCCACTATCTATATCATTTATAGGCCTAGAGTCAGGGAAACCAGGGTCGTCAGCTTCCTCACTCGGTGTAGGCGAGAGAGAAGGCGCGCTCATACTACCGCGGTATAACCGATCAAGAAACTGGACTGATTTAGGCAATTCTTCATCACATGATGGAGAAGATACATGCTGATCAAATATTTCAGGCCTACTAGACAAATCTGAATTATATTGGACAGTAAGGGCATCTGGAGGGGTCATAGGCCTAGCATAGCTGCAAGAAGGCTGTTCAAGCAACAACTGGTCACTTTCTAATGGCCTAGGCCTAACACAATTAGTATTATGTTCTGGGGAAACTGTGGTCTCATAATCAATAGGCGTATTAGACTTATTACTCACTTGAATTCTGCTCCCTTCCAAATCATCATCATCACTCCAACCACTCTCCTCAAACAAGTCACAATCACTGTCACTGTCACAATCCCCTATAAGTTTTATGATGTCACTTTCATCTAACTCTTTTCCACATTCATCCACGAATACCAAGTTATTTTGAAGACTCATCGTATTATACAAAAGCTTTTCAATTGAATAATATAGTAAAACAAGATACTGTAGCTCAATCTTTATCACGACGAAGTGAAACACGACATGATAGGCCTAATAACTCAGTCATTATAACGACGAAAAAGTAAAATACTGATAAAAACTTACACTAAGTAAATTCTATAACTTATTTTATAAGATAACTACACTTTTCAATAAAATAATAAAGTAAAACAAGGCTCTAACACAATGTTTACATCGTCGAAGTAAACACAACAACGTATCAGCTGTGAAACCAGTGTAGACGTCGTCAGCTGCTAAGTTGCACCATTTCAACTTCAGTTTTTTTGCCGATTGGACTGGACTGAGATGATGAAAATATAACCAAAAGAAAGCCTGAAAATCATAGAACAAGAAGCATATGCGATCTATTGGATTTCTGGGGAACTAACTCGGCACAAACAGGTTTTAATAGCGGACGGCGATTCGCCGTCGCTTCACACAATGGCTAACGGGAGCGCGACGGCGGATCGCCGTCGTTGTAAGCGAAGGGGTTAAAGGGCTGTAGGTCGTAGCCCTTAGAAATAACGTAAATTCTAAGGAAGTTCGGCAAATCTACACACTATCCCCTGTAATTTGAGACATAAATCTTGTAGATCGGTCCAGTAATTACTGAGAAAACAGTGTTACAACTGTGTATTAAATATATAGATTTTGCCCAAATTTGGAAAATGTTTTTATTTCTTACTAACTATTAACATTTTACATAAAAAACACTTTTACCCTCCCTGTTGCAGCAAACCTAAGTATGTGTAAAACTGATTCTATTTAAATAGGGAATAAATGTGATATTTTTAAGGAGACATTTTAGTGTAAATCCATTCAGGGAAATGGAAATTCACTTAGTCTGCAGGTTTGCTGCGGCGGGGGTATTATTATAGCTTTACAATCATGAGAATATATCTTGGCTTGACTTTCTGTTTAGTTGCTTGAGGATAACTTGAGCTTTAAGGCTAGGCTCGGTTAAAAATTAAGCTGTTCGCACCTCTAAAAACGATTCATCGTTAATAAAAATTTCCTTTAGTTAGAGAACTTACCAACATTGCAAAACTTTGCCCCAGAAGTCCTCGGGTATGGTATCGAAGCATCTTGATATCCAGTAAATATGGAGGAATGATCAACCAAAGACACTGGAGAGATCTGCAGCCTGTTCTTGTCTACTTCCTCATTGGCAGAGATCTGAAGAAAATAACTAAACATAATGGTAGATCTAAACAGATGTACAACAAAGGTTTCAAATTAGATCAATCACTTCAACATTCGGAAATAAGTTTTACAAATAAATGGTCCTGTTAAAGTAAGTCATAATAAATAGGTTACATGTGAATCTTTCCTAAATTCTTTTGAAAAAATTTACAACTTGTTTGATATAAAACTCACCGCTTGGTTATCTTTTATAAGTTGATATCCTTCAGATAGGAAAACTTACAAAATATATGTAAATAAATCACAATTATTTTACTATAATGGTCAAGTGCCATAAATTCCAAAAGAAAATTAAGATTTGTTTTGTCATGTGAATAACTCAATATTATACCATTACTGTTTTTTTTTTAATCCAAGATATGAGTAAAAGTAGTCTTCATTTGTATATTTTGTGACTGTGGAATATATATATTTTTTAGAGTGAGGCAATAGTAGTTTGTTTTTCAACATTCAATGTTTTTAAACATTGCCCGACCTTTCAGCCAAGAATATGCTACTTAAATTTAGCAAACACCTTAAACACTAACAGAATAACTATATTGAAAGTAGGGATGGTCAAGTCTCGAAATTTCGGGAAATTTTCGGGAAATTTTCAATCTTGTTACACGAGACGAGATTACTTTTTGGCCGAGATTTGTATCGAGACGAGAATAAAAAAAAAAAAAAAAAAAAAAAAAATTTAAAACGCCTGCAGAAAGTCAATGCAATACCCGCAATACAGGAGCGGGTTGTAGTTGCGTTTCCTTTTCAAAGGCGTTCTTATTTAATTAATTCTTTTAATGTAAATATTACTTTAATTCTTTTAATGTAAATATTACTTTCATTATTTTAATAATATTACTTTAATAACATTTGAGAAGTTTTGTTAAGTGTAAGCAGTGTGAGGAATGTTTTATTACTATAAAAAAGTCAAAACAAGTAACTATTTTATAAAAATTAATATTGCTTTTATTTTATGATTTATTTTATTTTAGGATAAGTTGAACTCTATCCTAACTGATATCACCATGTTTCCTAATCGTAGGCATTTTTAATAAGTTAGGCGTGATTAATAAAAAAATGTTATGCTGATGTTATTTAATGAAAGATTGTAAATATTCTTGCCTATTATCATTATTTTAGTATTTAAACAGTCATCTAACAATGTTACAAAATCAGGTAAAAATTTTGAACGTGCATTTCCCGTTGTGTATGAGAAGAGAAATCTCGTCTCGATCTCGTCTCGAAATTTTATGAGAAATAAAAAATCTCGTCTCGTCTCGTCTCGAACTAAAAATCCAATCTCGTCCATCCCTAATTGAAAGCTAACAAAGGCAGCCTGACCTGTTCCAAGGTGGCCACTGCTTGGCGAAGGCAAGGATCTAGACATGATCTGTTCCTGTGCACTCTCTGCTGCGCTGTGTGTTTCATCACCTTCAGTAACTTTGTCTTCACCACAATGTCTACGTTGGATCCTGATGCAAACTGGAACGCAGGGGCGCTGCCATACGGGTAGTTAGGGGGGAAAGTTATCAGGAGGTATACTATGTGGCTGCCTACAGAAATCTTGGCTGAGCAGGTACGACGTACCACATCCATCTGAAACAGAAATATTTAATATAGCCTATATTAAAATTTATAATAAACTGACTTTGAAGATTAAAGGAATCGTTTCATGGCTGTGAATGTCCTTACAGGTTCTTAATTATTAAACTAAAATTAAATTTATTTAACTAGTATCTAGGGGCAACTGTTTTGTAATTACACACTTTAGTTGGGATATTCAAATATTTCCCATACAAGGATGTGAGTTTGCATTTAAAGAGAATGGAGAATGAATGTTAACGACAAAAATGTCAATTTTTTTTACAGTAACTATTTTATGTAGCAGGCCCATAGGCCTACTATAGAGCCACACAATTTTCTTCTACGTCCTCTTCAAATTGCGAAATACTGGTATATCAGTTAGTTGGTTATATAGTGGAAAATTAATTGCATAATACAAAGTAAATAGGGAAATAAAACTAAATTGGGCATTCAAATTTTCAGTAACTTAATAGTTACACTACATCATTATAATAGATGACACTGTCAAACTAATCCATCAACAGATGGTCTTACTTAAAATAGATTAAAACTGAAAAGAAAAAGATACATGATGGTGTAAAGCTAATAATTATTTATTATTCCAATGAAACTCATAAGTGGCAGCTATGCCGCTTGATCTCCTCACAAAAGCTGACATATTATCTATATGAAAGCCAACAAAGACATCCAGCCTGACCTTACAAAGAACCACCAATTGGTAATAAATTACCAAAATGCACTCTCTGGCAAAGAAATATATAGGCTAGGTTGTTCACTTTGGTTTACGTGTACACTCACCTTGTCAAACGTAATGTTACGAGAGTTGACATTGACCAATGAGAACTCCTGCTGCAGAGTCTTGGGCTGGGACGCAGGAGTTGTCTGGAGATCCTGGGAGGAAGATGAGTTAGACAATGTAGAACTGGCTGTGTCCAACATAACCTCACTCTCTCCTTCACTTTCTATATTTAAACATACAAATACATCAAATGAAAGCACTTCTATATTAAATCTAAGTTAATGTGTATATGTAACCATTAAACAAATAATTACTGAGCTTCTAGACTTTTAAATGCTAAAATTAAAATACTTTTCTTACCCCTATGAGTTTCAAGCAGTATTCATAGCCCTAATTGTGCTCATTTACTATGTTTTAGTACAAGTTATGCACAGAAGTTAAATCATCTTTCTAAACCAGCTTTAGTGACTTAAACAAGGTAAGTATGGGTATAAACAAAGTGGCTAAAAACAGATTTGAGGAGTAAATCACACAGAATCCAACCATAAACACTCACTGACCAGTAAATAAACACTTTTTTACTACCATCAATTATACCTAATGATTAAACTAAAAGGTGGTCAAATCCAAACCCAAACACATTGGTTAATCTTGAATCTCAGGTTTCAGCATTGTTTGTTAGGTATTGCGTTTAGCCAATTTTGTTCAGTTATACTCGCATAGAATATTACAAGAGAAGGTTAGGTATGTTACCTTTTCTTTCCAATATAACACACTTTAACACTTCTGAAATTTGGTCAAAAATGCAGGAACGTAATTAATTCTAACGAAAACAAAGTCACAACAGGTGTTTCATTTTACCCAGAGCAGATGTAGTAGTGAGGATATCTACATTAGTGGCTGTGTCACCATCAGGATCGTGTCCACACAACTGCAAAAAATTATTAAAAATAAATACAACGTTTATAGTTTATTCAAAGAGTCTTAAGTTTTGGTTTTACAATAACATTATATTATGCAAGAACATTTTTATAGACTCAAATTTGTCTACACTTTACAAAGTCCTCCTGGAAACAAAAATTGTTGTTTATGTGGCCAACCTAAACTTCTAAGGTAGGCTAGCTGGTGTTCCCTTTAGTCTACGAGTACCATTAGAAATCCTGGCCAAGAGGCTTTACTTGAACAAAACTATATTATCTTATCTAACATTTACCATGCACAGCACAAACTAGTTGGGCTGCCCTGAATTTAAATCATAATTAAGAGTTTGCTTACCTTCTGCAGGAATGGCTCGATTTGCCAAATACGCAAGGTCTGATCTTTGGACCATGTGATTAGTTGATAGTCAGAAGATTCTGTAAGAAAGGAATTAAAATAATGAAAATACAGAGTTGCATTTTTGAAGGGCTTTTATATTTGATAATGATCACTGATCAGTGGAAACATTAAGTTAATTTGTGTAACAAAGGTTAATTCAGAGGAATCCTAAAGAGAAAAAGAGTATCAGACTTCATGAAGCCTATTCCATAAAGTTGTTTCTGTTACACATCTCTAGATTATTTTATAAACTTCAGGTACATTGTGTTAGGTCCAACTGTCCAAAAGTAAAAAAGATTATGTTGTAAATTCCAAATTAATATATAGATACTAAGATTGGTTAAACCCTCCATAATTATGTATTTTACAATTGTTGCATGATTCCAAAATCCACAATGTTTTAGTTCACATTCAATGCTTGAATATAATAAAAGTATTCAAAATCCTTAAAACCTACAAGGATTATCAATACGTTCTAAGCCAGTTTTTCCTGAGTTACTCACCATCTTTGTGTCTCCGCCACTCACATTCCAGCACTGTGTCGGTGTGGCCCACGAATGTGTGGACAGGAGCTGTGAGATTGGACAGGTTCCACAACAGAAGACTGTTCTCTCCTCTCCTCATAGGGGGGACCACCACCATCAGAAGACCATCACCAAATGGCTGAACAATTCAAACAAACATTGATAATGTCAGTTTTAACTACATTAAGTTAGTAAGTAGCAATGTCGTGATTATCTCCTGAAAAATCAATCCTCATCACCTCCAAAGATCACAATTACCACTCATAGTTGGATTTTATTCCCAAACTGACATGATTAAAAACTCCCAACGGAACGGCAGTAATGAACAGAGCCATAGACTATTGGTGACTTTTTCACTTTTCCCAAATAAAATTCCTGAACACTTCATAGTTTTCCCAGTCATTGGAAACCTTACATAAATAAACAGTAATATTACATTGCAGACACTTTACAACAACCCTTACGAACTATGAAGTCATGCTACAACACAGACTCACTGTATAGCGTGCCCTCCAAACTGGAGCCGAGGCCGTGATTATGTTTTCTGCTCTCCGAGGATTGGTGGTGTCAAAGAACTTGACCGTACAGTCCTGACTGGCAGTGGCCAGCTGATTCTCATGAGTCTGACTCCAGTCCAGACTATGGATCTGGAACAGACAACTGAATTTCAGCCTTCAAATTACCTTTGAATAGGTAAATGAAATTAAAAAAGAAAAATCATTTATTTACACATGCACACATTTATTATCATTTATTTGAATAGGTATTGGTGTGACAAGATGCCCTGTTAGGTTGAGTTGGCGACCTTCAAATTAAGCTAGAGAATATCTTGTTTTCGAAGGTGATTACTTGAGTCATTCCCAACTTTTTAGCCTCAACATTGCACAAAATATAGGTATTTACGCCAATTGCGTAGAATTCAGAAGTTTATCCACTGAGGATAAGTAGTTATTTAGTGATAAGCTTTCAAATAATAATAATAAGAATTTCAACTCCTCAGGGACTGGTATACTATTTGGCCTAATTCAGTTTTCATTGTCCAATATTAACCGAGAAATAATTTGGAATTTATATGTTATCAAACTAAAAGAAAAACATCAATTGATTAAAGACTGTTCACAGACTAGAGAATAATTATTTTTATTAACATTCTAAAGTCACCCCCAAAGGTTATAAAAGACATAAAATTGGTGCTCAATCCATAAAAAATGTGTGATTAATTAATTATATTTTATAGGTTTTATACAATAGGCCTAGTCTATCAATATTAACTGAAGTAGCAAATATAAAAAATTAGATTCTCTTAACATTAATCTCCTGTTTTTGAAGTTTTAAAATACTTAATCACTTTACTCAAGCAATGATCGAACAACTGGGTCCAGTTCTAACCATCAAATATCTAATGACTTTTTGCAGGATTGAACTAGTGACTTTTTTAATATCAAATGAGCACTAACCATTCAGGTACCCAGATAAAATGTCTACACGTCGTCATCACCACTGTTAGTCCTTACATTAGCTAGATGCGCAGTGATGTATTGTACTGGAGCCGTGCCCTTCCTCTGATCCCACAAACGTATGTCGCCATTGTGAGCCGTCGCAAGCAAGTAGCGAGACAAGCGATTCCACCGCACCTGGTTTGCCCCCGCTGTAGCAATAAACATGTTTGGAATAATTCATATGTCTTGTAAGAGTACAAGAAAATCTATAGCCTAATATAATTTAACAGAGTTGGATTATACAGGGAGCGGAAAAATGTTCTGACAGTTTTCTTTGCCACCCTGTCGAGGCAGTGAGTGGGGGAGGGTGGTGGGAATAGGGGCGTTTCAAAGCCAACGTGCGGACATTTTTAGTAGCCATCGAGCTGTGGACAACTGAGCACCATGCATTTGTAGTGGAAGTGTTTTTTTTTTTGTGGCAATTCCTGTGTAGCTGTTCAGCGGCAGTTCCGTAGACGTTTATACGTGGGTCCAAGGCAAAAAGTCACAACACGAAACACCATTTTGCTGTGGGTGGGTAAGTTCAGAGCTACTAGAACAGCATTGAAAAAAGTCAACAGGCCGTCCAAGGTCAGCCCGCACACCAATGAACATCGAGAGAGTGAGAGAAGCTGTGAAAGCTAGTCCTCAGCGGTCTGCACTTAAATAAGCTGCAGTTCTGCACATGCCTAACCACTCAGTAGAAGAGTATTACGATACGACCTGCACTTTCATTAATTCAAAATGGCAATAGTGCAACAGTTGAAGCCCAGTGGTTAAGCAAGGCACATCTAATTCTCAGAACAAGTGATTGATTTGCTTACATGGGACAAAATTGTCAGCATCATAGACGAATCATACTTTCAAACAAACCACACAGTCTTCCTCACTCTCTTGGCGTTCTCTGGCATCCGGGCTGACCTTGGATGGCCTGTTGATTTTAGTTTCAAAGCTGAACTAGTGGCTCTAAAGTTACCCACCCACAGCAAAATGGTGTTTCGGGTTGGGACTTTTCTTTTTAACCCACGTTGAAATGTATACTGAACAGCTACACACGAGTTGCCACTTTTAAAAGCACTTCCACTACAAATACATGGTGCTCAGCCGTCCACAGCTCCATGGTTACTAAAAATATCCGCACGTTGCCTTTGTAACACCCTTATTCCCACCACCCTCTGCCACTCACTGGCTCGACAGGGCGGCAATGAAAACCGTCAGATCATTTTGCCGCTTTTGTATGTGTGTGTTTGTTCCTAGCACTGGCCCATCTTGACTTCTATGTTTCAACGCCAGAACCATTTACAGTTGTGAGCAGCCAGAGGAATGAGGATCTGGTGCATGAGTGCCAACGTGATTGATACTGTTGGTCCATACAGATATCTAATTGTAGAAAGGACATAGACTAAGACTGATCCCACCTCTGCCAAACCCTAAATAAGAGCCTGAAGCCACTGCCTCATACAAGGACTACATACCCAGTACAATATCATAAATGTAAAAATGTTATATAGTGTTAAGGGATATAGAGAAGAGCATAACAGCAAGTGTTTGAGAGCACTTACCAACAGAGGAGAGTGAGACAGCAGGACGCCGAGGGTCACGCAGGTCCCACACGTGAGTGTAGGTGTCTATAGAGCAGCTGGCCAGTAGCTCCGGGCTGGACCTGTGCCAGTCTAGGTCTGTTACTACTCTGGTGTGATTGTTGAGGGTGTGCAGCTGGGTCAGATCAGTGCCTCCCAGCTTGTACACCTCCACCCTCTGGTTGCTCTGCAACAACAGGATGGATTTAAACACACATTACTTTATTAAAATTCTGAACATACTGCAGTCGAGTTGACATTATCGACGTCTCCCGTGCAAAATTACTTATACCTCCAGCCCCCCAAGGTCATGTGCAAAATTATCGTAGTATTCCGTAATTGCGGCTAATTCTGAACATCTACCGCGATCGTGTGGACATCATTATTGTCTTTGCAGTCGTTTAGACATCATAATTGTCTACTCTGATCGGGAGAAAATTTTGATAATTTTCCACATCATTGTCTACAGCGGTCACGGCAAAATAATGAATATCCGCTGCGGAATGAAACATCATCATAGTCTTCCGCGATCGAGGAAAAATTTGGAGTGCCTCTTGCAACCGTGCAGACATCATCGTTGTCTTGCACGATCGCGGAAAAGCAGTAATTTTTTATTCGTACGATAGTAGCAAAAGTGTCTGGTATTGGTATCGGAATAGACTTTTGACGATTCTCAACACTGATACCAATGTCAAAGTATCAAGAAACAACACATCCCTAAAATAAAAAAGATTTTGGGGCGGCCCGGCCCCCTTCCCTGGATGGATACACCACTGCATATGACATAACAGACTGAAACCATCAGTGGTAAACATTGAACAGGTCTCACCTTGCTCAAACGACCACAGAAATCTGAAATATGTGATTGCCATGTCAGCTGAGAATCTATAGCAGAACCAAAAATCTGACTTCAGAAAGTTCTTAAATTAAAGATTGTGGTAGTTTTAAATACAGGTAGTATGGTTAAATGTGGTCGTTTTGACAATTTTGCTGAAAATATCCTTAAATTTCAAGAATTAACGGGTATCGGTACCGACATTGAGTGCAAGAGAAGTCAACTAAAAATATTGAATTTTATTGCAAAAATTAAAACTCTACTTCCCACCAACCAACATCAGATAGATGACAACTCACTAGACCAACCACAGCACAAGACTTTGCAGCCGACTCCCTATACAGCATCATGTGTGTGTGAAGCGAAGTGCAGGCTGTTACGCCCAGTCCAAGTGCTAGTCCCTCCCCCTCATTCCTTCGTGGAAGCAGTGATGCTAGACAGTGATGTGTCAGTGTAATCAATATTGCGAGTTGAGTGGGCTCTGGAGGTTCTGATGACTGAATGAGGAAACTGTAGAGTTGGCAAACAATTTTATTCACTAGCAAACGCATTTGATGATAGCACTCCTTGAGGCTTAAATTTTGGCGGATTGAAATCTATATAAATAAAAATGAATCCCTTTTTTTGATGGTGTTCCATAACTTGAGAAAGAGTGCACCGAATTGGATGATTCTTATTTTGTTGAGTTTCTTAGTTCCAGGTAAGGAAATGTCTAATCCATCCACCCGTTATTTAGTAATTTGATTTTAAAAATTCAACAAAATTTCCTTTACATTAGCATTGGAGGAAAATATTTTCATTAAACTATGGGATACAATAACAGGTGAGTAAGTGTAGGGTAAGAACTTCAACCAGGACAAATTGAGTGATGCGAACGAGCTCATCTTGAAACATTAACGAGCATTTGACATAAAACCACATTAGCACAGGACGACGTCTGTCGGGCCAGCCAGTGATTGATAGATTTTTTTCCCAGTTGTTACCCGAAGGCCATGAATATATTAAGAGAGTAAGTTATGTTTAAACTAAGATGTTATAGGCCTACTTACAGATATCGCGCAAAGCTCCTTCTCCTGGTGATTAGGGTTCCATTCTGCAGTTCCAACTTCATATTTGCTTTGTCTCGGGAATTTACGCAACACATCTGAAGAGTCATCCAGTTTTTTTAGTCCTAAAAATCTTCTCCTAAAAAACGTAAAAGAAATAATAAATTAAAATTAGTACACAACAACAGTGAAACCTCAACAATGAAACTTCCGTTGATGATAAAATATAGCTTGGATGTTATAGCTTAATGGTCGACTTCTTATCAAAGTCTGTCTTAATGATTAAATGTAAGGCATAATAAAGGGTCTTTTAAAACTGCCATGATTTACCAAGATTGCTATTATTAACGGTACTATCAAGATTCTTGACATCTCTGTTTTATTGTATAACGGAAAACTTTGAACTTATCTACCAATTTAAATTCCAATTGAAGTTTAAACGCACAAAAAATCTATCTTATACTTGTTAAATATCTTTTGTGTTTCTTAATCTTTTGTGGATAAGGAAATAAGTCCATATTTTAAAACAATCGTTTAATTTTAAAATATCAACCAAAAATAATTTACGGCAGATAATCTTCAAACCATAAAGACAACTTTATAAAACAAAATAATGCATAGGTAATTGAGATCTTAAATGAGTGAGGTAAAGTTAACACTACAAGTTAACTTATTAACACCAAGTTTCACATCTTACCCAGCCAGAAGAACAAATGAGCCTGTAGAATCCACTGCCATCGCACTCGCCTAAAAAATCATATTACAGTTTGATTAGTAACCATTAGTTAAGTAAATTCTTGAAAAACAATTTTAAGATTTAATATATGTAGGCTACAGGAATGAATATGGGTAAGTTATTAAATATCTAGAAGATTGTCTACTCTATCTAAACCAACGTAATAGCAGAAAATTTGCCTAATAAATGGCTGTGAAAATGTTTCAGCATAAAGGGGTCAGGATTCAAACTAAAAAAATATATTAGGCCAAGGCTAATTAGAATTGATATCTTATATGTTGTAAAATAGTAACTTATTAATAATCTGAAAACTAAGTTAGAAATATGTTTTCAGCAGAGGCTTAGTCCAGATAAAACTTTTCTAAAATGGAAAAATAAAAATTTATACAATAATTGGTAAATATGCATTTTAGGGTTTGCACGCGATTTTTGAAATTATTTTTTTCATTCTACTCGAAATTTAACGCTGATTCCGAAAATGACGTTCTTTTTCCGCGGAAAACGACCATAACGCGGAAAAACGACCAAAATATTTTTTTTACCAAAACACGCCATGTGGGTACTCAAATTAACCGTAATATTAAGCAGATCATGACTATGCAAGAATTTTTTTGGATCCGAGGTCAAATAAGCGAGATTTTCACGTAAATATGCGATGCTATTTTAGATTTTTACTCCAACTTTTGTCGTGTTAAAATACCAGCTGATCAGGATCAGCTGGTCATTATTTTATTATAATTGTTTATGTTTTAATTTAACAGGTAAAAGGGATTATACTAAGCATAACCTAACTTAACCTAACCTACCCTAACATAACCTAACCAACCTAACCTAACTAACCAACCTAACCTATTTTCCCAATTTCAAGCATATCTCCCATAATTCTCCCGACTAAATACCCATTATTTTTTACACATTAAATTACAATGATAAACCAAGTTAGATGTCTCCCCCACCCAAAACCCCGAATTCCCACCTGTCCCCTAGTGAGTTGGAGTTATTGCTGGTAGTATCACGTTTTCGTGAAAATCTTGGTTATTTAAACGGATCCAAAAGATTCTTGCATAGTCGTGATCTGCTTAATATTCCGGTTAATTTGAGTACCCACATGACGTGTTTTGGTAAAAAAAAATATTTTGGTCGTTTTGGTCGTTTTTCTGCGTTATGGTCATTTTCCACGGAAAAAGAACGTCATTTTCGGAATCAGCGTTAACCCTCCGAGTGTCATGCGTCGCTGCAGCGACGCGTTACACACTTTGTGTAATGTCATGCGTCGCTGCAGCGATCACGAACACTGTTTACAGCGAAGGCTCTATGACTGACAAAATCGGATTGAACTGGATCGAGTTAGGTATCGTTCTTTTCATTATATTCTAAGCTTTCTCCAGAGGTCTGTCTCTAAGCGCTTTATGTTCTCCAAGCCGATCGTAATTGTAGCAGACAGCTGACGTGCGTATTTGTAAACAGGTTAGTTAACCTCGGACCGATGACTGATGTGTTTTATTATGTTTATCATTGTTTTAGTGTTAAATATCAAAAGTAGTGATATACGTGGTGCATTATAAGAAGATTTAAGTGATTTTGAATGGCTGGTTGATGATCCAGAAGAAGTATGTAGTGATATTGATGTAAATTATCAGCCAGATTCCTAGCTCTGGTTAGTATGCATTCTTAGCTAAACGCTATGTACTGAAATCTGTTTTTTGCCCATAACTTATATTTGCAAATCTACTTCCTTATATTATTATATATTTGTAATCCTCATAAAATTTAGAACAAAGTGGCTATATTCACATATTTATAGGCCTATAATTTATACAATTTCATTGAGCGCGAACTTTTTTTTTTTTTTTTTTTTTTTTTCCAAAATAATTTTTATTTTTACCTAAAAAATTTCAACAAATATTCCTTAGGTTTTATGTATGATATTGAAGCCCATGATTTTCCAAACAAAATGGTATATAGAACAGTAGAATTAACATTGTTTTAAGCTTTTCAGATCCGTTTTAATAAAACCTTGCAAATGCGCCAAAAATAGGCGGACATTAAGGCCTAAACTATGGACACTCGGAGGGTTAAATTTCAAGTAGAATGAAAAAAAAAATTTCAAAAATCGCGTGCAAACCCTAAAATGCATATTAACCCAATAATTTAATTTACCTATTTTGCCTGAAGGTCTTGTAGTTAAATGCCGCAATGAGCGATGAAATGCGCGCAGAGTAACTACTACCTGGTAGTTTAACTACAAGACCTTTTTTAGGCAAAATAGGTAAATTAAATTATTGTATAATACAGGTCTTGTCACTGGGTTCAAACAACATTGAACAATAAAAATTTAAATTACTGCAGTCAACTTTTTGCTTTTGGGTTGAACTTATTCGATTTCCAGTAATGTAACTTAACTTCATTTCTTAAGTAACGTCCTAGAACTTAGACGTATTTATTGGATTTCAAATATTCTATTTAATCAATTTACTTAAGCTATATAGCTTAAGTAAATTGATTAAATAGAATATTGGAAGTCCAAGTGTGCAAAATTTAAGTTAATTAGGCTACAGAAGAAATAATTCACCCAACAAGAAAATAGCCTACCTGTAAGTCGCGATGCTCAGCAATAATGAACTCACTGCTCCAGCGAGTTGCCATGATGACTAAGGTGGCTCGGTGGTGGCTTAGAAGGTTTTGGAGAGTAAGCCTAATTTATTGTCTCAACAAGAAAAGAAAACTGCATATCTAGTCTGAAACAAATACAAAACTTTTAGGTTAGAGTTAAGGTAACTTAACTATAAGTTTAGTTACATTGAAAACAGTTAGGGTAAGTTAAGCCTATAAGTTAGGTACCTACCTATTTACATTTGTGAAATAAAGTAAGGCCAAACAGTAGTTATTTACCTTTGTTAAAACTTCTAGGCTTTAGGTTATAAAACCAAACAAATGCTCAATTTCACATAATACCAAAACAATAGTAAGTTTAAGCGTCACACCCAGTGTTAAAAGTCAAAAATGGAAAGAGAAATAGACTAGATACTGGGCAGAAAATAATTTAATTATTCACAAAAGAAAAGTTACTCAATCATAGTAAAATGCTACCAAACTATAATTTCTGTAATCACAACATAACAATTCATTCAAAAATCATATGTCTCAAAATTATTAAAGTTCATTTTCATAGCAGCTGGAAAAAGAGAAAATATAATGTAAAACCATAGATTATTTAAATGAAATGTTTGAATACTATATCCAACATTCTCCCACCTTTTGACTTGCAAAGTCAAAATATTAATTATTAATTCAGGTATCTTTGTGGGGGTATAATTTTTCTTCCTCTTTGTGTGTAAACTGGTTGATCATGTTCACTATCAACACCTTCAGCTACTTGTTCATCTTCCACTTCGAATGTTTCATTACCATCTTGATTGTCTTTCTGCTGGACCAATTCAAGTGGAAACACATGTTGTATAGGTCTCAGCACTGTTCCTTTTGATGTTTTCATTTCCACAAGACGTATGTTGCCATCTTTTCCAGGAAGTATCTTCTCAATCTTCGCCAAAGGCCAGTCCATCCGTTTGGTATTGTCGCTTCCAAGTAAAACAATTTCTCCAACTTGCACTTGACGAGATTTCTTCTTCTTCGAATGTAACACCAATTGACTTAAATATTCGCTTCTAAATCTTTGTTCAAGATCTTCTTTTAATTTTAATTTAAAGTTCCAACGTCGAGACAAATTTGTGTAGTTGATCTGGTCCAAATCAATAACTCCATACTCCTTCGTACCATTCAAAAACATAGCTGGCGTCAAAACTTCCATATCATGGCTGTCTTCTGAAATGTAAGTCAAGGGTCTACTATTTATGACAGATTCACAACTGCACAAAACGGTCAAAAATTCTTCATAAGTCAAACTAGCTCTTCCTAAGACTCTGCGAAGAAGCTGTTTCAATAGTCTTATGAGTCTTTCCCACCAGCCTCCCCACCATGGTGAGGCAGGTGGGTTGAATTTCCATTTTATACGTTTGATTGTGCTGTACTCAACAATCTTATTCCAATCGATTTGCTTCAACGCACTGTAAGCCCCTCGGAAGTTAGTGCCGTTGTCTGCAAACAAGACTGTTGGTCGACCCCGTCTGGAAATGAATCTTCTCAAACTTTGCAAGAATGACTCAGTCGATAATGAAGTAACTAACTCCAAATGCACGGCACGGTATACTGCACATGTATATAATGTAATCCAAGCTTTTTGTCCATCTCGAAGGAAAACAGGTCCAGCTAAGTCAACTCCACAGACTTCAAAAACAGAAGCATCTCGAACCCGTTGCGAAGGAAGTGGTACTGGATCAGTATCCAAACTTTTAACACAATATCGCTTGCATTTGACACATTTGTCAATAACTGATTTTACAGTTCTTCTTCCACTAATAATCCAAACATCTTCTCTTAGAATAGATAACAATCCTTGGACTCCAACATGTGAATTTTCTTCATGTTTGTATTGTATGAATCTGTGAACAACAGGATGGTTACTCGGCAATACGATTGGAAGATTAAAATTTCTACTATCAGGTCTCTCTGTGATTTTTGTTTTTAACCTTAATAAGCCATCACTGTCTTCAAACGGACACAATGAGCTCAATTTTTCATCCTTGATACTATGGAAAGCGTCTTTCTGAATAAGTTTAAACACTTTATTTTGAGCCTTAATCAATTCATCAACCGACAATTCTCCTGATATCTTTTGTTTAGACATATTTGTGTTAGAACAAAATCTCAAAATCCAGCCTACCAATCTGACGATTTTATCAAATCTGGAGAAATATCTGTAATACCAACAATCTGGTTCAGGTTTTGAATTCATCATAATCTTTGTAGTTGATTTGATCTTCCTAAGTTCAGAATTTACTTCTTTCTCATCACAATCATCACTGAAGTTTTGGTTAGGCCACAAGTTTGATGAGTTTCTTAGCCATTGTGGTCCCTCCCACCATTTCGACTCTACTAGCTGCTTAGGAGAACATCCACGTGACGGCAAATCAGCTGGATTCATATGACCTGGAACATGATTCCAAGATTCAATGTTACTAAGGGATCTTATTTCCTTTACTCGGTTCCAAACAAACACTCCCCAGTAATCTTCTCGACGAATCCATGACAAAACGGTGGTTGAGTCGGTCCAATAAAATGTTTTGACATTTTCAAACCCCATACTCTTTAAGACGTTGTCAGTTAGACGAGCGCCAATGGTAGCCGCCAGTAACTCCAGCCGAGGAATGGTCATCTTCTTGACAGGTGTAACTCTACTCTTCGCTTGAACTAATTGAACTGTGACAAGTCCATTAGATTCACCCCTCAGGAAAACCGCGGCCGCATAAGCGTCCTGGCTTGCATCACAAAAACAGTGAACTGTCCAAGAAATATTCCCTCCGATTTCATTTCCAAAATATCTTGGAATTTTCAAGTTTGAAAAAATCTCAAGTTGCTTTGCCCAATCTAAAAACAAAAGTTTTATCTCTTCTGAAACCTTGTCATCCCATCCAATTTTACTTTCCCAAGTTTTCTGCAGCAATATCTTAGGCATGAGTGTAGCAGGACAAGTTATACCTATGGGGTCAAACAACTTGTGAGCAAAAGACAAAATAGATCTCTTTGTGACTATTTCAGTTTCTTTAAACGCAAAGTTTTCAAAATTCAACTCAATCATGTCGGTATTTTTGTTCCAATTTAAACCTAAGATAGGTGTCAAGGTAGAATCATTTTTGAAACTCTGAATTTCTGTGTACTCCCAACTCCGAAGACAGAATCTAGCATCTTTCATTACAGAAGTCGCTTGATCTACAAATTGATTCAAATCTGAAAAGTCATCGAAACTTGCCATACAGTTATCTACATAGAAACTTCTCAACAGTGTCTCTACTACTTTTCTTGAGTAGTTTAACGATCCAGAATCTATCAAGTCTAATGTTTTTTCTAAATGAAGTTTTATTACTGCACTTAGCATAAATGGGCTACAGGTAACTCCAAAGACCACTCTAGCGTGTCTGTAAACAACCAATTGACCATCTTCATTAATCCACAAAAAACGAAGAAAATCTCTATCATCCGTATGTACACCAATCTGAAGAAAAGCCTTCTCGATGTCAGCAACAACTCCATATCTGTGTAGTCTAAAACGATTTAATATGGACGGAATCAATTCAATTAGATTGTCCCCTTTTTCTAGACAATCGTTCAACGAGGGCTGATTCTTTTCTTTAGCGGATGCATCAAATACAGGTCTCAATTTCGTGGTAAGACTGTTTTCTTTTATCACATGTCGATGCGGTAGGTAGTGACCAATTTCCAAATCAGCATCGTTAACCTTCTCTATGATACCTAATTCCTCCCAGTCAGACAACACCTGTTGATATGAACTAAGATATCCACTAGAATTAAGTTTATTTGTAAGATTACTGAGTCTCTTCTGTGCTACTTTTAAATTAGTGGGTAACGGCGGGTGATCTTCAACCCATGGCAATTTGACCTGATATCTGCCATCATTTTCCACTGAAACAGATTCTACAAAATGTTCCATTGTTCTACTTTTAACTGAAGATTCACTCTTGACCTCCGCTGGATCCTTGATTCCTAAAACATCCAAACTCCACAAATCTGAAATGGTTTTATTATCAATAGGGGACAGTAAAGAAGTTACTGCCATAGAACTGGACCTGTCATTCCCTTCAACAGTGGTTCTTCCCATTAAAGTCCAGCCCAACAAAGTATGCATCGCAACTAGCCCATTGGAAAGCAGATATCGTTTCTCAGTGTAAAGTTTCCCAGCAACGTCTGCACCTATCAGAACTTCAATGGGCCCGTCTCCATCTGTTACATTAATTCCCAGTGTTCCAAGCTCAATGGACCAAGGACCAGGCTTAACTGTTGTAACATCGTTACAAATTATATCTTGATCAAGAACGTCAAAATTGCAGGCATAGCTGTTATTTAAGTCACTTAGTCTAACCTTATAACACGCATGTTCAATTGTTTCAGTACTAGTGCCACCAAATAAAGCATGAGCTAGCTTCTCCCTTCTGACTATGTCGTAGCCAAATTCCTTTGCTGTATTTTTCAAAATATAAGATCGCTGTGATCCCGTATCTATTAAAGCACGTGCTGTTCGCTCTCGATTTTGGTTTCTAATTTTTACTAAAAAGGTTTGTAAAAACACTTCTGTGTGAACATTGTTTGCTAGAGAACTTTCTTTGCCTGGTTGTTCACTCAATGAACTTCCTTCTGCAGCAGATGCCCTACACATAACAGCAGTGTGCCTCTTTCCACAGATGGGACATTTTACTCTAACTTTACATTGAGCACTCCTATGACCATACTTCAAGCAAGTAAAACAACAACCATTTTTTCCAACGATTTTCACCTTCTCATCTACTGTCAATTTACTGTCTTTACAGTTTTCAGCTAAGTGGTTAGAACCACAAAACATACATTTAATGTCTTTAGTATTTAACTTATCAGACTTCGTTGGGTTAACTAAACCAGCAGCTGTCGGCATCATTTCAGTATGACTGGCGTAACTAAGCTTAGGTCGAAATACAGTAGATTTACTTACTTTAGGCTGTTGGCTAGGTCGCTTACTATTTTCAAAACCAGATGCGGCTAGAGTAATCCTTTCCTCGTTAGCAACCTCCTTTTGCAGAAACTTCATCAAGCCATCAAGTCTATCCTTAAGTTCAGCATCAACTTCATAGCCGGAGTGACGCTGCCAAGCTCTCAACAATTCCTCAGGCAAACAAGACTCTATAAGAGGATATAACATAGCAGAACATTTGTCAGTTGTTACTCCTAATGTCTCCAATGCTCTTAGTTGGGTTTCCAGTTTATCGTAAATGCAAGAAACTTCTACCTTACTGTTTAAATTACTCAGAACTAACTTCAAAAGCTCTCTAACATACACTTCTATGAGAAGGTCATCTCTACCAAAACGACTTTTAAGACTTTGCAAAGCTTTTGAATAGTTCTCAGCGGTAGCAGGATAACTTTCGACCAGCTGACGAGCCCTAGAATTAGCTAAAGTAGCCTGCACAAGATAATGATATTTATCAATATCATCAATATTCTCGTCATCATCTATTCTTTTGAATTGTGCCCAAAAAGGTAGCCAATCCTTCAAATCCCCGCTAAACTTTGTGAATTCAATAGTAGGTAGCCTCAGCTTAGTCCTAACAGCAGCAGATTTACTCATTACAGACCCATTGGACTCAGGTGAAGTATCCCTAGATCTAATCAATCTACTCTGTACAGCTAAACTAATTCGATTAAACTTCTCTACATATTCATCTGCTAGCTTAATTTCTTCATCTAACTCTTCTTCATCTGCTTCAGAATCAAGCAAGAAATCTAAAATTTCCCTGTCCAAAGTTTTTAGTTCTTCTATCTTACCTTCCAGAGAGCTCAATTTACCCTGTACATTGTGTAGGTCTTGCTCATCTTTGCATAGCTCCTCATTTATTCCATTATAAATTCTGGTAAATGCTGTTCTGAAGGTTTTTCTTAGTTTCCTATTTCTTTCCATTATCTCAATAGTGACTATCTAGTTAAGAACTCATACAGTCCTGTCACGGTCGCCAAATGTTAAAAGTCAAAAATGGAAAGAGAAATAGACTAGATACTGGGCAGAAAATAATTTAATTATTCACAAAAGAAAAGTTACTCAATCATAGTAAAATGCTACCAAACTATAATTTCTGTAATCACAACATAACAATTCATTCAAAAATCATATGTCTCAAAATTATTAAAGTTCATTTTCATAGCAGCTGGAAAAAGAGAAAATATAATGTAAAACCATAGATTATTTAAATGAAATGTTTGAATACTATATCCAACACCCAGGCAACACAAAGGAAACCCTTCCGGTAACCAGACGTGGATTAACTTAGACGTCCGGCAGTGACGTCACCGGGTTGTGGGGGCCCAGAACGCCATTAAGTTACCACAACGATATGATGTACAGCCATCGGTGTTTGTGGTGTAGTGGATAGAGTGCTCGGCTGATAAGCAAGAGGTCCATGGTTCGAATCCCATTGGTATCTTAATCTTTTGCGGTGTAAAAGATTTTTGCTTTGAATGCCATTTCTTCTTAACTGTAGGCCTACATCTTTTATTAGAATTTTTGACATTTACAAATTTATTTTAAGAGTAGAATTTAACGTTCATTCAATTTTTTCATCATCAGCAAGTTTGGTTGGTTAGGTTAGGTTATAACGGTAACTGCCAGACGCCTAATCCACCTCCGGTTACCGGACGCGTAACCTCTGTGTAGGCCTATTCCTAAAACTGATGAATTAGCCTTAGGCTGATGATATCATGGCTTCTAACAAAATTTTTAGTTTTAATAAACCATACAAAAATGCGACAGTAAACGGAAATCTGTACATAGGCCTACTGTAAATATTAGTTTTATTTTTTATTTTAAATATTCTTGACCAGTCTATCCAGCTTTGCTTGTTCAAGCAAAGGAGAAGATAATAAGGAAGTGATAAGGTAATAGGCTATCATAAAATGATAGACCGAGCTATAGAAAAATAGGCAACAGGCCTAGTTTCCCCAATTATATTTCTCAACAAGAAGATACAAGGCTCACTAGCTGTTTGTTTATAAACTTCACATTAATGCATGCACATGTCAACAACCTAGCCTACTAATTCTCTTATCACCCTAATTTTCTAAGACGTTAATTAATTCAAAGTTAACATAAACAAACCTTGGTGGATCCAGAGCCAGAGCCTCATCAGTCCTCAGCAAAGCAGTAGCAGCACTATAAAAATAAATATAAAAGTAAAGAGTCAGAAGCAGAGCAGACAGCAGTGACCAGCTGACAGCAATGACAGCATTCAGCACAGCACGCAGCAGACAACGAGATAACGAGAACGAGACAAGGGAATTGGGTGGGAATGATTGGGAATGGGGGGTCTCAGAATCTCAGATAAGAGACAGAGACAGAGACTCACTCTCTAGTACAGGAAAAATACTAAAAAAAAATGAAAAAATTAGTTCAGGGATAAAAATTTGGTTTTAACTTCGTTTTACCAATAGAAGTCAAGATCCGATGAGTCCCTAACAGTCCCGATGGGGGAACATGGTTTTTAGGGGGTGGGGAGGAGGAATTTTGATATAATTCATTATTCACGATTTGAAGTCATTTAGGAAGTCGTTTTTAAGGTTTGTATACACGGTGAATCGATAGGAACCTTATTTAGGTCGATAGAACCACCTCCATAAGAGATTTAGCATATTGGTACTGGTACATGTTTAGTTGTTATTTTTTCTAGGAGGGGTAGGTGGAATTTTAAATAATTTATGATTTTTGACTTATGACTTGTTGGGTGTCATTTTCAATGGATTTCTACATGCCTAATGAACCACTATTTTGTCGATATTACTACATTATTAACATATTTGGAGTGCTATCTGACTGAAATAAAATAAATGTTTGTGCCCAAAATTAATTATTTAATATTTAAACATAAAAAATAAAACAATTAACTTAACATCAAGTATTAATTGAATGAGTTTATATTTACAATAAATTTAATTTTTCCTATTATAGTAAAATACCCCCGCCGCAGCAAACCTGCAGACCAAGCAAATTTTAATTTACCAAACAGGGTTACTATTTATTTTCTATTTAAATTTTAATGAGTCATTAGGTTTGCTGCTACAGGGGAGGTAATAGGGGTTGTTTTTATTGAAATGTTGATATCTTAGTATAAAATAAACAAAATTTCCAAGTTTGATTTAAATATATCCACAAATAAGCGAACTACAAAAGTTTATTTATTTTCCATTAGTATAACATGGGAATTTTAAATTTAAATTTTTTTAATTATCTCCTTAACCATAAAGGATTAGAATCCTTAAGGAAAAGAATTCGGTGAAAAATTACTTTAATTTTTACGGAAAGTAAATAAAAGAAACGTAAATAAAAAGAAACTTATTTAATAAAAAAAAATTAAAATAATTTTTTTACAATGTAATGATGGAATGAAAATGTTTACAGTGTATGGTTTGTATATTTTTAAAACTATTCAGCATGTTTATAAAGATAAAAACACTGAAGTATCCAATAAATACAACACAAGGTGGAAAAATCTTACTGTAAAAAGTCATCATCGGCTGAAACTTTCAAAAATGAACTCTTCATATTTTGACAATTTATTCATAAGAAGTTTGCCTGCCTTACTAAAAAAAGATCAAAACAAACCCAATTTTTTAAAGCAATTAAAATCATTCTTAATTAATCTGGCTTCTTATAGTATAGATGAGTTTCTAAATCAAAAATGAATAAGCTATACATTCTAAAATAATTGTAAAATTGTATGGTTAAGTATTATAGATTAAGTTGTATAACCAATTTTGTATGCGTTGACACTATTGGTATGTTAAATGTATAAAGTGAATAAAGATATTTTGATTTGATTTGATTTGAACCGTTAGGCGTACAACCAGGTATATACTAAACTATTTAATCTTTTAAGCTCTAGAAAGTGGTTTGGTAAGAAATTGTGAAATTCTTTGTTGACGAGGTCAAAATGGAAAAACCCAATTTTCTCCCCATAAAATCCCCATAAACCCCTGTCCCCATAGTCCAATCATGCTGGTTCGCAAACTCGTTAGAATAAATTTAGGTTTACACGTTTGTACCTACCAAATTACATCAAAATCGGATAATTTGTGCTCGAGTTATCACGCTAAACGGACACATATGTATATGAATTTGAAAGGATTGTGTTTTTGACTTCTGTGGACCTCAAAACAAAAATGTAAATTGGTCCCGGGTCTAAGTCTTACCATGAGACCTACGGTAATATCTTATTCAATATATGGGAAATTCGCTAAAAACCTCGTTGTAACTTATAAATAATGTATTCCTTTGACTTCCTGAAGGATATAAAAACAGTATACATATGTACAAAACATATAAAACATTTTTACAAACTTTGTAGGGGTTACGCAAAGGTAATAGATATTTACTTGAACTTTAAATAATAAAACATGGTTTAAACCCTGACTTAACGTCAATGTATTACAATGTATTATGGGTTTATTGAGACTTTTGTGGGGAGAAAACTGGTTTTTCCCATTTTTGACCCCATCAACAAAGAATTTCACAATTTCTTTCCAAACCACCATTACCATTTTTTCTAAGGAGAAAAAAAATAAATGTAAATTCAAAATTCCCATGTTATTCTAATGGAAAATAAACTGTTGTAGATAAATAAACTTGTTTGTGGATATATTTAATCCAAACTTGGCTATTTTGTTTATTTTATACTAAGCTATCAATATTTTAATAAAAACAACCCCCATTACATCCCTGTAGCAGCAAACCTAATTATTCATTAAAAATAATGTTTTTTAAATAGGAAATAAATCTGACAGTTTCAAGGACAAATTTTAGTAGAAATCCTGCCAGACAAATGGAAATTCGCTTGGTCTGCAGGTTTGCTGCGGCGGGGGTATTTTTTATAATGGGAAAAATTGAATTTATTGTAAAAATAAACTCATTCAATTAATACTTGATGTTTAAATAATAGTTTTATTTTTTATGTTTAAATATTAAATAATTAATTTTGGGCACAAACATTTATTTTATTTCAGTCAGATAGCACTCCAAATCTGTTAATAATGTAGTTATATCGACAAAATAGTGGTTCAATTCTATTAGGCATGTAGAAATCCATTGAAAACGACACCCAACAAGTCATAAGTCAAAAATCATAAATTATTTAAAATTCCACCTACCCCTCCTAGAAAAAATAACAACTAAACATGTACCAATATGCTAAATCTCTTATGGAGGTGGTTCTATCGACCTAAATATGGTTCCTATCGATTCACCGTGTATACAAACCTTAAAAACGACTTCCTAAATGACTTCAAATCGTGAATAATGAATTATATCAAAATCCCCCTCCCCACCCCCTAAAAACCATGTTCCCCCATCGGGACTGTTAGGGACTCATCGGATCTTGACTTCTATTGGTAAAACGAAGTTAAAACCAAAGTTTCATCCCTGAACTAATTTTTTTGTTTTTTTGGTGAATTTTAATCTATTTTGCCTGTACTACTCGGCTTTTTAAAGAATCTAATATTGACTGGTAAATAACAACTCTAATGAATGAGCCTGGGACTAGTTGAAGGTAGTCATGTAAAAGATACTACAAAATCACTGCGAGTGTCAACAGATTAAAATGTTTCATTGTCAAATACCACAGCTTTAAATTGAAAATAAGATCATTTTAAATGTATAGTGTACTGTATTTTGTCTGAAGACAAATTTGTATATATTTTTTATACAGTTTTAAAATGTAAAGAATATTAGTAATATGTCAACTACGGTGGATTGAGTATTATAAGCCTAAAGAGACATCTAGCGGAGACTAGATGAACTGTCACGAGGCTCGACGGTAGCAAAGCTAGCGGTGATTGACTGAACTAGTCTCAAAACTCCTTGTACATCATTTGGAACAAAGATTATATGAATTTCATGGATTTTTACCAAAATAGTGTCACGTTTATTTCCTACCCGCGGCTTCGCCTGCAATGGTGTAACCATAAATATTATACATATTAAGAAATAAACAGAGTATTACAATCATTGCAACAATATGGTATCGTCGTGGCATCGACAACAATCACAAAAATAAGATATTATATTCATTGCGTTACGCACAGTTAAAAAATGATGTTATGAGTAAAGATTCTACATGGATTAAATTACAATTAAAACTAAATGAAAACCACTTATTTAATCACCAACTAAAAATCCATATTCATAATGCTCTACTACTGTACCTAAACAATAGGAAAAAATACATTTTCAAGCATTCGCACAAATTATTCATTAAATTAAACACATGAGCCTAAACATAACTGTAAAAATCTTACTTTGACAGTTCTTATTGCTTATTCCAGCTTTTTAATACTGCTTAGTTCAGATTATCTATTGTCATAAATGAAAAAAAATAATAATGTTGCACCCTGTTGGTAAACCTTATAACTTTTGAATGCTTTTGCATAGCATAGATTCAACTTGTTTAGTTTAAACAGCTGACTATATTATTTAATTCCTTTTAAATGTGTATACTCATAAATCATGGGAACTACAAAGCCACTGGGGCTGAATCCGAAATGATTTTTTTTATAAGAATATGCCTATATATTAATCGGGAATTTGATAATCATGCCAAATTTGAGCCCAAACTGACCAGCAGTTAATGCGTGATTGAACTTTAAACGAACAACCAAACACACACAGACAAACCTTCACACTTATAATATTAATATGATTAGTATAACTATTAGCCACTATAAGACTAGCCATTGGTAGACTATAACTTCCCAGGGGCCTAAATATGTGTTCACCACCTGAGTCGATAAAAACGGACTTGTGTCGAGGTAAGTGGTACAGTTGTATTTCGTTTCTAAATTAAATAGTCGATTTAAACTATTTTAAAACTATTTTCACGACGATGGTTTTCAGACTAGTTCAGTCAAACACCGCTAGATGTAGCTACCGTCGAGGCTCGTGACAGTTCACTTAGTCTCCGCTAGATGCATCTTCTATCGATAATACTTAATCCACTATAGTTTATATATTACTGAATGATTTTAAATGTTAAAAACTAAATCAAAAATAGAGACAAAATTGTTTTTAGGTAATATGTAGTAAGCTACACATTTAAAAATGTCTTATTTTCAATCTAAAGCTGAGATATTTGACAATAATACACTTTTATCGGTTGAC